TCGGGGCTTTTGCTTTTTTCCCCCCCAAATTCGCCTGGACACGAACGCCCTTCTGCGTGCTGCGGACCTTGTAGCTGGTGGTGTGAGAGTCAGGGTATTTTAGAAACAGCTGCGGGGTCTCTGAAGTCCTAAAAACTTCTGCCTACAAATACATGGGTCAGACAGCTCAAAGCTGTTCCGAAAAATATTGTCTTTCGTTGCACGATGGAAGTTTATCTGTAGGGTTTATGTGGCACAATTTAATGGTACTCCTGGAGACAAAGGAGCCCTGCTGTCTCTGGATGACTCTCCTCTGCTAGGTGAGACCAGAGGCAAGGAGCTGCTGCTGCCTCTGACATCGGGGTGGGGAAGCAGGAGCAGAGGCAGTCCCTGAGCAGACACTTGCAAAAGCAAGGAAGAGTTCTCAATTCCCTTATAGCTTCTCTCAAGGAAAACTCCTAAAGAAAAACTGGGAAAGGCTTAATAAAAAGTGAGCTGGCAAGAAGAAGAAGAGGTGAGATAATGGAAGCACAGCCTGGCACGTGTTCATGAGAACCTGCAGGGAAAATTCCCTTCCCCTTTCCCACCCTTGTTTTTTGGAACGCTTTCCATCTCCAACCTTGGATCTTCTCAAAGGGAATAGCAAATCATTAGTGCATAAATGTGTAGCTTACAAGCATGGTCCTGTTGCTGGGAAGAGTTTGCTTTGTCTTCTGAAGCGCTGTGGGAATGCTGTGGGGAATATTGTGGAGAATATTGTCCTGCTGTCCCCACTGCAGTTGTGTGGGGCAGGCTCTGAAACGTGTAGGTATGTTACAGAAAAAAGTCTTACCAGCTTCCCTGTTTTGGAGAGGTTGTGGGTATGTGTCTTGAGCAACATCAACTGCTCCTAGAAACTTTTTCTTTCAGGAATTCATATTTATTCAGTATAGTAATTAAACATAATAAAACTCCAATTCGAGGCAGTGCTGATAATGCAGCTCATAAATAGCTCTTGTTACCTTGCTCTGACACCGTGTTGTTATCTACATTAAGCACCTCATCTTCCCTAAATCACACCTGAACACAGGGTTAATCCCTGGGTGGATGTTGCCCAGCAGTAACACGTGTCACATTTAAATGTCATTCTGTAGGTTTGCTGCCTCTTGCCTGAGTGGTTTCGTGGAGCTGCTGCTGCATAAGCCATTCCTGTTCTCCTGCCTTTCTCTGAGTTGATATAAACTGTTGCCATTGCTGTTTGTTTTCTCTCTGCAGGAGGTCACAGCCAGCAGCCGCCACTATGTGGACAGATTGTTTGACCTCGACCCCCAGAAAGTCCTGCAAGGTGTCATGTAAGTCATTGGAACACCCCTGGGCTCTTGGTTGTGTGTAGGCAGGGGGTACTCGATCCCACTGGAGCTGTAGGGCAGGGGCAGGAAGTTCTTCTTGTCTTTTTTTTGAGAAATCTAGTTGGCAGATCTTAATACCAACATGGTAGTATTGCTGTAGGGATGGATAGTTTTGATACAGACTCTCTGTAGGGCATATGGGTCATAATGCAGCTTCCCAGTTGCCAAAAATGAGGTTTAACATTCTGTGAACGTTGACAAACTTTTTTGGATACACTTCTTCCTTTTGGCCACCTTTTGCTCCTCTTCCAGGTCTGTTGAGATCCTTTTCTCTTCCTCCACTGCTGAGTCAGTGTATTTGCCTCTTACTCTTCCCCTGCTGCCCTGCCTCAGTGTTGGCTTTTATTTTTTTAATGCTTGGCTTCTGTCTCACCATGGGAACTGCAAGCTGAAAGAAAATGCTTCCAGAGAAATTAATTTGGATGCAAATTATATTTCAGTACTTCTGTTGCATGCCAGTGGTCAGGGGCAGTGACTGAGAGAGTGAGGGAAGGACTTGTCCTGCTGCAAAGGTCTGGTTGTTTCCTTGCTGTCCCTGGGCTATGAGCTTTCCATCAGAGCCACACAGCCATGTGGCAAACGAGTCCCTGCCTGGGACTGACTTCTGGTGGTGAAACAGGACCTTTTTGGGCTTACCAGTAACTTGCTGGCTGTGCCTGTCTAGGAAAATGCCAGGAAACATCAAAGGACTGAGTGGATCAGAAAGCCAAGGATATTGGTTGTGTTGCTTAGCACAACCTGAGGCGTTTTCCAGTAGCAGATGAAAACAGTTATTCCAAAAGGTGCCCCAGGGCAACATATCAGAATTCATGTCCCCTTAAAATAGGTGAAAAACACGACAGACATGAAAATGTCCTAGAAACGTCCTTGGTTGGAATACCCCCTTAGCTGTACAAAACTTGTGATGCCCTCCCATAGCTCTGTGCAGGTTCTTAACTCTGCTGCAGGAGAGTCTGGTTTTGCTCCCACCCCTTGGCCTTCCTAGTCCACTCCTGCAGGGGCTGGTGGGGTGGTCCTGGGGCGAGGATGTGTCTCATCCAGTGTCCCAGTGGGGTGACTGAGCCCCTCTTTTCTCCTTGGCAGATGCTCTGAGCCCTGGCTGGCGCTCCCTCCCTGCTCTCCTTTCTTTTCAAAGGACTGGAACCCACAACCCTTGGTAATCCCTTCCCTATCTTTTGATGTGTTATTCATACCTTTTGAAGTTTAACTGATTTCCCAGAAACAGGAAGTTTTAGGCGGCATCTTTGTCTCAGTTAACATCTGAAATTCTTCATCTTGTCCGTGAGTGTCAGT